TCCCTTGGGTAGCAGGACTAACATTTGAAGAGAGATTGAATTAGCGAGGTCTATATTTACTGGAGTTTAGAAAAATGGAGGTGATCTCATAGAAATCTATAAAATTATAACAGGACTGGCCAGCATAAACGTAGGAAGGATGTTCCTGATGACTGGGAAGTCTAGAACCAGAAGCCATTCTCTAAAGATTTGAAGTTGACCATATAGGACTGAGGTGAGGAGAAATTTCTTCACCTAGGGAATGGTGAGCCTTTGAAATTCTCTGGCACAGAAAGTGGTTAAGGTCAAAACATTGAATGTTTTCAAGAAAGAGTTAGATAAAGCTTTTAGGGCTAAAGGGATTAAAAGTTATGGGGAGAAAGTAGGAACTTGTTACTAGGTAAGTAGTCAGCCATGATCATATTGAATGGTAGAGCAAGCTCAAAGGGCTGAATGGCCGACACCTGCATGTATTTTCTATGTTTCTATGCTACCAGAATTGGTCCTACTTCCTTTCTTGAAGATGGTCATTGTTACAGTATCTTGATGATCCATTGACTGTGCCCCTCAGTCCATGGGGACTCATGAGCTCCTCATGAGCTCATGTATTTGTACTGTTGTGAGGCTCCTCTGTCCCACCAGAGCAATGTCTTTGTCCAATTGCAAGTATGGTTGAGACAATTAGAGACCAGGTTCCACCGTACAGACAGGGAGACACTGGGATATGCACTCTCTCACACATAGTCTCAAATCATCCTCATCCTAACCGCCTAGCTGGGATCTTGCCAGTGGGTTGACATTGAAACTGATGACATCAACCAGCTCCTGCAGCTCATCAAAGACAAGTGTACGCTGCATGCTTCACCACACACCAACCAAATCCTCCTCCTGTGCTCACATCATTTTAAATTGCTGACATTACTTTTCTACCTCTGCACTCTGGGCCTCCCCTCTCCCAATGTTTTAACTTGCCAGATCTGCCCCTTTCCTGTAATAAAAACAAACCACCATGGATGCTGGAGATCTGTCGTAAAAAAAAAGAGAAAGTGCTGGTAACCTCAGCATGTCTGGTAGCATCAGTGGATGGATCGGAAACAAAGTTTACCCTTCAAGTCTTTGGAGCTACCTCTCTCCTCACTGCTCCCAAACTTAAAGCTGCCCTCCCCTTTCCCCTGCTGCTTTAGCTGGCCATGTCTGCATAGCTCCTGGCTCTGACACTGCTCTCCCCTCCCCTGCTGTTCTCGCTGACCAGCTCTGCCTCCCTCCTCGCTGCTCCTAAATCTGAAGCTGCTGATCCCTCTCCTTCAGTGGCCCCTCTCCTCTCTGCTCTTGAATGATGCACAACGGTGGGAATAACCACCCTTAAGTAGATGCATTGTAGCAACTCAACGGGAGTCCTTTGACCACACCTTTCAAATACACGACCTCTATCATCTAAAAGGAAAAGGACAGCAGAGGCATGGGAACACCATGACCTGCAGATTCCCTACCAAATTGCACACCATCCTAAATTGTAACTCTATTGCTATTGTTTCTTTATTGTCACCGGTTGAATCTCCTGAAACTCTCAAGTGATCTTGTTAGTGTACACCTACTCCAGATACACTTTAGCACTTCAAGAAGATGGCTCACCACACCTTCTAATGGGAAATGGAGATAAGCAACGAATGCTGGTGTTTCTAGCCATGCTCATATCACAGAAGAATTAAAAAAGGTTCCTTAATTCACCAACAAACCTCCTTTGGGTGAATAGTTGTCCATCACACCAACATTAAAACTGGAGGTGGGTGTGTTTGTCATATTTGGATTCCTGTTTCAGAAATGTTTGGCTATGCAGAGTGCCACTTTGAGAAGATGCTTATCATCATTGCCGGTGCTAGTGGCAAATGAACTCATGATATCATGATGCCTCACAGTCCAAATTGCTGATGGGATGCCCATTTCTCAAATTTGGACCATATTGTCCATTCAATCATTTCACAAACCATACACCAAAGATCAAGTATTCAGCTGTAAAGTGGGCTCCTAGGGGCTACGTGTTTTAGGTCAATTTACAGGACTTCTGATGCTGCTGAACTGGATAGGTGACAGTTTCTGTGTATTGGAAAACATATAGTCAATATGTTGAGAATATTGAGGTGAGGGACAGGGGATCTAGTAGAAAGCAAGAGGTCCACAGTGATGTCTTCATCCCATTTGGTAAGCGAAGGATGATCTGGGGGTTATGAAGGGTCATAGGGTAGGAATATCCTGAATGATCTAATCAATGCCAGAAATCCCAGCTTCTGTTGCTACTAGTCCCACAATGCTGAGAACAATCCCCTCTGTAAATCTCAGGTGAAACAGGCATCCTTGTACCTTACTTGCCATGGCCTGTTCCCTTCCAAAGTGTGCTACTTTATCCTGCAAGACACAGGAAGAATCTTACTGATTGTGTCTCACCGTGTTTGGATGATATGCCTGCCACAGCTTAATATTTGGAGATCTGTTGGAGTATTGAGAGGTGGATGGCTAGTGGAGTTGAAAAGGGGAAGCCAGTGCGTGTACTTTATTTGGACTTTTGGAAGGCCTTCAATAAGGTCTTATGGGGAGGATGCAAAGATACTTCAGTGTGATTTGGACCATTTGGGTGGGAGGGCAAATGCATGGCACATGCAGTATGATGTAAATGTGAGGTAGCAAAAACAGAAAGACATATTATTATCTGAATGGTGATAGACTGGGAAAGAGGGAGTGCAACTGAAAGTAGACATATAGGTGAGCAGACAGTGAAGAAAACAAATTGTATGTTGGCCTTCGTAGGGAGAGGATTCAATACAAGGATGACTTGCTGCAAATGTACAGGGCCTTGGTAAGTCCACATGTGGAACATTGCATGCTTCTTTGATCTCCTTATCTATAGAAGGATGTTCTGGCTGTGGAGGGATTGCAATGACTATTTATCAGGCAGATTTCTGGGATTACGGGATCTACATACGAAGATAGACTGGAGTGGTTAGAATTGTATTCACTGGAACTTAAAAGAAAGAGGGGTTCTTACATAAACCTATATAATTTTAACAGTGCAAGATAGAGCAAAAAGACGGGAAGGATGTTTCTGAAGACTGGGGTGTCCAGAACCAGGGTCACGGTTTAAGGATATAAGATAAGACATTTAGGACTGAGATAAGGAGAAATGTCTTTACTCAGAAAATGGTGAGCCTGTGGAATTCCCTGCTACAGAAAGTAGTTGATGCCAAAAGATTGAATGTTTTCAAGGACTTGTAAATAGTTCTTAGAGCTAGAATCTTTAGGGTGAAAATAGGGTATTGAGTTGGATGCTCAAGCATGATAATAATGAATGGCGTGACAGTTCAAAGGGCCAAACGGCCTATCACTGCTCCTATTTTCTGTTTCTCAGTAAGACTAATACCACTGGTAGGTGTGTGAGAGTAAGGTGGAATGTGTGGATGATGTGCCTGAGTTCTGACTATCCTGGTTGAATGACGATGGATGTGATTGTTATGGTAGCTTCATATTTCATAATTTTTGTAGATAGAGCTTAGAAGGATTACTGGCACATGGACTGCTCTTTTGTTATAGAGGGCAATAAAAGGACAGTGGAACTTATTTTAACAGTTCATTTCTTGAATGTCACATGCCTTGTGATAAATGTTTGTTTACTGCAGACATCTTTTCCTAGGTTTCTGTCTATTGAGTTGCAGCTTCTGTTTTGGAGATTGTTTGAACTTTTATTTTGGTACTAGCCTGAGGAAGGAAAATACTTGCCACTCCAGCTGTCTTGTTTCTGAAAAACCTGAACAGCTCTGATTGTCCTCCTTAAAAGAATTTGGAAGAATCCTCAACACTGCATATCCTGAGCAAGCTGCAATGCCAGAGGATCCCAAAGACATCTGCTGGGGTTTGGTGAAATCTGCCTATGTGCCATATCAGCAGACTGATAGCTGCCTTAACATTCCACACCTTCTCTTTGCTTCAAGAACTAAGCAAATAATGGACATTATGTTACAGTTGGTTCTGATATAACACGACAGTACCATTCTCGTGTGATCTTGTGTTGTAAGAAAATTGTGCAATAACTGCGCCATTTAAACTTTTGGGGCTGGAATTGCATTATAGCCAATACAAGTAAGGAAAGTTTTACAAATAGTGGTCTAAATTCTTCAATAGCATTAAAGCCAATTTGCATGGAAGAAACATATGTTATAGCAGAACCAACTGTATTTTCCAAAAGTGAATTCAGCAGAGAGACATGCAGCATCAGAGGAGCAGGAAAGTAGATGTTTCAGGTTGGGACCCTTCTTCAGAAACGTCCCTAGCCAAAATGTCAACTTTCCTGCTCCTCTGATGTTTACTGGCCTGCTGTGTTACTCCAGCTCCACATTGTGTTATCTCTGACTCCAGCATCGGCAGTTCTTACTATCTCTCAGCAGAGAGACAGCAGCTTTTCCCTCCTTTACCTCTGGTGTCTGTATGTGTGTGTGTGTTTTTTTTTACCTCTATGTAACTGGGCTTCTCTTTCTGTTGAGATGTTTAATTTTTCTTGGTAAGAATTATAGTAAATCAGCAGCATCCTCTTGTAATTCAGTGCAGCTTCTCTTTCAAAGGGGCAGACTGTCTTTAGGAACAGAAGGCTGGCTGCACCATACGTTATAAATACACTCTATTTGGTTCCTTGCTGAGTGCAGAGGCAGCCAGCAAGGCAAACCACAGTCCTACTCTGTATCAAGGTAAATGAGGCAACATCACCAATGCTCACATAAATTAATGGAAAAGGCTTGAGAAGCTAACTGGCCTACACCAGTTCCCATATACCTAGGTTCAAGATTAAGATTGATAGATTTTTGTTAGATAATGGTATCCAGAGGCATAGAACAAAGGTGGATAAAAGAATTCGGTTAAAATCAGCAATGATATATTTGAATGTTGAAATATCTTCAAGGGGTTTTATAGACAGTTTTGTTCTTAATTTCCTTCTTGAGTTAAAAGGATTAGCACCAATATTTCTTACCCTCTTCCAGGTCAGACTGGGACTATTGGTTCATGATGGGACTCATTGGAATATCAATTGGGGTCCTGGGATTCTTGGTAAATCAGACAATTGATATTCTTGTCAAATTGAAATGGAAGCTTATTCTACATTATATACAGGTAAGGAACACAAAACAATTGATGTAAGTGAACTTTCTTTAGAAATTATTCCTACTTTGCTACTAATTGTATTTTGTTTAGTTATTCAATTATGCCACTACAAAGTTGAAAAATACACAGTGCCCTCTAATTTTCTAGTTTAAGTAATTTTTGTTTATAAAGTATTTCTCCCTATAATACTCCACTTTTGTCATCTGTATCCAATATATTTAGTACTGTTCTCACATTATGCACCATTTCTGGTCAAGTGGAAATAAATGGTCTACTGCTAATTAATGTTGTATAATGAGGTATGTAGTATCTGAAGTGTCTCTTGCTGTAATTCGCTGTCACTGAAGAGGCAGTCTTCACTTCCATTTAGAGCCAGGATTGAATAGCCAAAACTGACAAACCACAGTAAAGAGTATACGTTTTAGAGTTTGGATTTTGAATGACTAGTATGGTGCTTGGGTCTGTGTATCTGAAGGGTTTAATGATTCACTCATAAGCATTTTGGTAGCCATGGTGACTTCTTTCAAATTGTAGTATTAGAGAGAGAGAGAGACTTTCTGGAGAGTAATTGGGAGTGTTTACAAGACAGCAAAGTAAATAGCATAGTGTCTTAGGCCTTCAGATAGAAGACTCTGGAATTGCCCATAGCTAGAAAAAAAAGTTTCTTAGTTTAAGTTTTAGGTGCTTGCAGAAGTCTTGACTGAAGCTGGATATTGTTCCTGAGAAAGGGAGGTGGTTTAGGACTGTTAAAAAAGAAAGGAGCTTAGTTTAAAACTTACAATCCAGAAGTGTTTGTTTAAAATCCTGAAGGTTTACTTGAAGCTGAGAAAATCTAAGCTCAATTATATGGGGCTCCAGGGAGTGTCTAATAGATTTTCAAGACAGGGGGTTGGAAACATAATTAAATTAAGCCCTAATAGAAGTGAAAGGGAAGGGAATTCTGAATGGGAGTCTGTAAAGGAGTACTGCGAGGAATAATTGAATTGTATTTTACCATTTAAACATTTAAATTTGGTGTTATATGTAAATTGTTTTGTTTGTTCTATTTTATCTTAATTTCCTCCGCGTAGTAAACATCTGTTGTATTGTTAAACCCAAGTCTGCAATATTATGTCTTCAAATCTCAGTGAAAGATCATCTCCTTAAAACCAAAGAAAAACCAAATATGATCTATCAAGCCAGATTTCAGTTCAGTCTGGAATCTGACTTGTTCAGTAATATCATCATTTGGGATTATAGCACTGAGTTCTTGATGGTGCATTGATGTAGAACTCCTATGCGCTGTCATTTCCCTTTACATAAGATCAATTAAAAAACACAATGGCTGACAGAATAAGTTGAAAATTTGTGCTTTTTGTTTGCTGTATACAGAATAATCAATTTTTCCTCACATGGATCTGGCTAGTTGGAATTGGATTAGCAATGGTCACTATCTCATCTGGAACAGTGCTGGTAAGAAATACTGTGATGTAATTCTTCCATAAAAGTTACTTTAATTGCATGGTTCAAATGATTAAAATGTGATACTTAATGCTGCTGATGGGGCAAATATTGTGCTGTTGGTGACTGATAATTGTATTAAATTTATTTCTTGTTATGGCACAATATAAAAAGGGGATGGAGGAGATTGTAGATGGAGACACTTGAAATTTTTTCTGAAGAACGGTCTAGACCCGAAACGTCAGCTTTCCTGCTCCTCTGATGCTGCTTGGCCTGCTGTGTTCATTCAGCTCTACACCTTGTTATCTCAGATTCTCCAGCATCTGCAGTTCCTACTATCACTTGAAACAGTACATGCATTTGGGTCACAGGTGAGGGATAGGCTGACTCTGTGTGGCCCATATAATGTATAGCACTGAAGGAAGCACTGAAATAGTTATACCTTTAACACTTGGGGTGTCTCATAGTTATTCACTTATAAAGTTACTTTACCTTTATCAAAGCTGGTTAAAATGATCCATGGCAAGGTCTGTATGTCTAATTGTCGTCAGAGAATTATATTGGTGAGCCTAAGTTTCTTGTAAAACTTCAGCAGGTCTTTTAAAAGCATGACCACTGCAAAGATTTAAAAATACCCTGGGGAGCTTTGCAATATAGAGGAGGTAATAGTATAATCATTTAATGACCATTCTTTTACATTTGTTCTGATGCCAGAGCTGCCTTAAAGTTTTGAATAATTGGAATGAAAAATTTAGCTAAAATTTGAGTTGTGCGGTATTGAAGAATTCCCGTGTAATTCATGCAAACTGACGTTATTTGTTTGATATTCCCAGATCTTCTGTCCATCAGGAATGCCAAGTGGCCTTCCAGAGGTGATTGGTTTTCTGAATGGTGCCTCAATCCAAGGTATCTTTCGCATAAAGACACTGTTTGGGACCTTGGTGTCTTGTGTATTAGCAGTAGCCTCTGGGCTATTTTGTGGGCCTGAAGGACCAATGATTTACATGGGGTAAGTAGTTCATTACTAAAATTAAATTGTAAACTATTGAGTTGAACCAATAAACATGCATAATTGCATCAGACTTAATGATTTAGTTAATTTATTGTAACGATCAGTTTTGAAATGATTGAAAGATTGAATGTCTCCTCTTTCTGAAAGCTGGAAGAGAACATAAAATGTCTAATTCCGGTGCCAAATTAATTTCTTCAAATCTGCAGCAAAATCTCTCAGAAACAGGAATCATAGAATTCCTACAGTGTGGAAACAGGACCTTCAGCCCAACAAGTCCACAGCAACTCTCAGAACATCCCCCTATAACCCACCTAATCTACACACCTCTGAACACTATGAGCAATTTAGCATGGCCAATCCACCTAGTCTGCACATCTTTGGACTGTGGGAAGAAACCGGAGCACCCGGAGGAAACCCATGCAGACACGGGGAGAATGTGTAAACTCCACACAGACAGTCATCCAAGGGTGGAATCAAACCCAGGTCCCTGCCACTGTGAGGCAGCAGTGCTAACCACTGAACCACAGAATATAACAAATCCTGTGAGAGTCCAGTGAAAACAATGGCAAGAATAGGAACACAAGTTAAATAAGTCACAGGAAACACTTAATAAAGTTAAAAGCTGCACATTCCTTGTTTGAGAATAATTGGAGACTGATTTGCGCGTGACTTTGGACTGAAATTTTTGGTTCAGATGAGTGTGGGCGCAGAGGTGGAAAGTCACATCATTTAAGCCTTAAAGTTAATTGTCAGAGGACACAAGACATCGCAGGTTCCACTGTGTATCAATGCTTCCACACACTCCATTTCATTTCATTACTTGACAATTGGAAAATTCATCCCCTGGATCCTAGGAGACATTGGGAACAGCATAGCTGCCTGCAGTTGGCCTCCCTACTGCAGACCAGATGGCTACTGTTCCAGGCAGATTGAGAGATCTCACTTGCCTGTGTGGTTTCGGCTGTAACTGCAGCAACACATCACCTTGTGAATCCAATTTGATGACCTGGCTGAAGTAGTTCAATTTAAGATTAAAATACTTGGAGAAAGGAGCCTCTATCTCGAGATGCTCTCTCTCCCTCACTTATCTGAAAATACTTTTTCAGCCATATTATTGGACAGTAAGCCTACCCTCTGACCATGAATTGGTCAGTTCAGGCAAATCACAGCCTAATGTCTGTTTCCATGTTGATTTCTGACACCCATGTGATCATAACAGTAGAGTCCTAAGGCCTACAAAACAAAATCTTACTTCAATATAGAACAATGTACACTGGGCGCACAGTGAGAGAGATGCAAAAAGGGTAAGGCAGCACAAAACGTACAATTGATCATTGTTTGCTAGTCCATGCAATTAACCAAAATATTTTCCTAATGCAACCTGATAAAAGTCTACATTTGGGCGGTCTCAACTGGGTCCTACTGTACACCATTCTGAAAATAAGTACCAATTTTCCCATTTCACTAGTTCATGCGTACACTCTGGTCTGCAGCAGGAATCTGACACCTTGGTTGATTAGTAGATGCGTGCTTTTTAATGTAGTAATGCATGTTTAGTAAACCTCTGCTTATTCTGCTTGCAAAACTAGTTCAGTTTCATCTGAAAGTAGCAATATCACTATGCACAAGTCAACACATAATCTGGTGAATCCACAAAAAATAGCCACTTTGAAACCATAAAAATGTTTAATTGTATCGGATTGAACAATTGATCATATGACCATAAATAATTGTTGTAAATATCACTTTAAAAATGATTGAGATCGTATGTCTCCTATTTTTAATAGCTAGGAGAGGAGGTCAGAAGACTGGAATTGCTTGGGAACAAGCGCACCCATAGAGACATAGAAGCATAGAAGATAGGAGCGGGAGGAGGCCATTCAGCCCTTCGAGCCTGCTCTGCCATTCTTCACGATCATGGCTCACCATCCAACTCAATAGCTTAATCCTACTTTCTCCCTATAGCCTTTGATCCCATTCGCCCCAAGTGCTATTTCTGGTCGCCTCTTGAATACATTCAATGTTTTGGCATCAACTATTTCCTGCAGTAATAAATTCCACGGGCTCACCACTCTTTGGGTGAAGAAATGTCTCCTCATGAAAAAGACACTATATTGTTGAAAATATTTCAATTCAACAAATCAAGATTTGGTATAGAATAGGTTTTAAAGAAGGCTTGTGATTTTTGTGGAAAAGGGGTACATGAAGATGTAGCCAAAGAATATTGTTGGGATATTGTATAGGGAACTTTTACTGTAGAAGGGTATATGGTGCTAATTTGGATAATTTTTGATGTCCATGCTGGATGCTATAAGTAACAAAAATTACATTTCCCATAACTGACATCTCTCACCTTGGTGTTTTTGTATTCAAAACAAAGAATCTAAATAAATGAAACTATACACACACAACAAGATGAGATATTTCCATGCCACATGTTTTGAACAAAAACACTGAAAGATACTTCAGAGTATTAATATTTGTTGATGTAGACTGTTCTGCAATGAAATGCGTAAGTCACGCAAATACAAATCTCAAATACAAACCAAATGTAATAAAGTTTCTCCATGGCCTTTGTGAAGACACAAGGATCAAATTAAGCACTTTCCAACCATGGGAAATTTGTGTTCTATAAAGAAATGAAAAGTGGAATGCAGCTGAATTACCAAATGGTCTCCATTTGGGTATATGTGCAACCACACAAAAGTGTAGTGAGCCAAAATTGTAATTTGTAGCTCAAGTAAAAGGTAGCATTCATTGGTTAAAGCTAGCCTGAACGTCTAAAAGAGGGGTGGCTTATGGATGGATCAGTTGTTGGCAGTTTTTCAGGAAGTGTATCTGACTTGTGAAACAGTGAGGATTGGCACAAGGTGGAAGAAAGCAGGCTCTCAGGTTTTCAAATGCTGCATTGGAAATGTTGATTGTGGAGATATAAGGTAGTAGAAATATCTGATACCATAGGAACTGTGAAGGCCTCCTCAACAATATATCAAATGGCACTGGAAGCAGATAGCCATGGAGACCAAAGCCTCAAACACCTGGATTCAGGAGCATTAGAAATTCAATGACCTTACAAAAGTGGCTCAGGCCAGTGAATAAATTTTCAAACGCCACATGCTATGAACTGCATACTAGCCTCAGGCTTTCCTCAGTTTGCTGAAGGGTTAGGTTGTACACTGATTCATCTCTAGAGCTTAATGATGACATCATTTGCATCGCCTAAAAGACAACTGTGAGTATACATGACAAATTGCTTGATGCACTGTTGCAAAGCTTCTGTTCAAATATTATGTGCAAGAGTTGAGAACAGGACTTAGAACTGAGCTTAGTGACAATCCTTTCCACCATGGAAGTGAAGACCATTTACACATTTGTAGACTCAACTAGAATGCAATGTTTCTAGTACAGCTTCTGTTACAACACCTGCAGAATAGTTTTTCAGCAGAATCTCAGATTATTGCCATGCAGCCAAGAAACCTGAGTAAAATTGAATTCAGTGGGAGTTGGGGAAAGTTCTCCATTGGTTGAAATCATACCATTCAGTATCTCGGAAAGTGTTTATTTTCCCCTTTTTCCCTTTCTTTGCAGAGAGACGGTAACTAGCTTCTTGGGAATTTTAGTTTACTTTGTCACTCACAGAAGAGAAATGTTTTCTCCTGGATTTTTCTGCTGTTATGTCCAAATATGAAGTTGTAGCCAATCACCCAGGAACCAATCAAGAATTTGGCCTTACGCTGAACAGTCACAACTACCAAGCAAAAAGCAAACCAATCAAAAGTCTGTCACTGGGCAAAACTGCCCTGGACATGCACCAATGGATGTAAGGTGTCTAGTGTCCTTCCACATTGCTTGTACAAAGCAATGTTGCAGATAAAACATGTAATGAGTTACAGTAAATGTTTTAAAAAAAAAACTGCGTCATCTTCTTCCACAGTCCCTTGGTTTAAAGCAATATTTTTGTCCTTTTTTTTATCCCACAGTCTGAGAAATAAAAGTGGGCTTTACCGTACTAGCAGTAGTCATCTGGGAAAAGACTACAACCACTGACTAGAAATAGTCATTCTTTTGAGAATATCTCCAGCAATAAAGATCTTCAGTTACCTGAATGAATTGAGAAGAGAAGGTTGAATGGAGTATTGGTCAAAATGTTTACAAACATGAGAATCTAGAAAAGATAGATAGGGAGAAATGATTCCCTTTGGCAGATGGAGTGAGAACCCTGGACAGAGATTTAGTGATTAGCAAAAGAACCAAAAGCAGCATGAGAAAAAGAGCGCATTTTTACATAGAGAATATTTGTGATCTAGAATGTACTGCATGAGAGTATGGTGTAGCCAGATCCAATTGTAATGTTTGAAAGACAATTAGATAAGAAACTGAAGGTAAAATCATTGCAGAGCCCAGGGGAAAGGGAGGGGAGTGGGCGTAGTCAAATTGATCCTGCTAAGAGGTGGCCTGGGCTTTACAGTCTGATGGTTTTATTCAGTGCTGTAACCACTCTATTTGGCAGTTTGGTGGTGGAGGGGGTGGGGGCATGGGATAATTGTGCATTGTGATCTCCATGCTTATGAGCAGTCTGATTGAATTTATTCCCCATACCGCTTTTGCACTTTTTAAGGCTTTGGTATAAAATCTGTTTCTACCAAAGTTTGACATGCTACAGGTAGTGACATTACAATTTAGTCTGGCTTGGCGCACAATCCTTAGCTGTAAGTAATTTGGCCCTGATGATGTGTTCACCTTAAATTTAAGTAACTTGTTCAGTGTTGCTCATCTTAGAATTTGATCATTTTAGAATAATTATCTCAGCTTTCAATCTGCATTCATCTCTGATACTTTGGCATTCAATATTCACCTCCTCTGTGAAGACTAATATTGAGTGTTTATTTAGAATTTCTGATATTCCTTCATTGCCTTCTACAAATAATTTGTTCCATTGCTAATGTCTCTGTTCTTGCAGATAGCATAACATTTAACTTCTTTGCCTGCCCAACATCTCTCTTTTTGGTCCCTATCCACTCCTATCGTTTAGTCCTTATCCCCTTCCCCCCATCCTATCTTCTGCATATAAACCAACATTTTCCTAGCTACCAACAGTTCTGAGGAAGGGTCACCAGATCTGAAACATTAATTTTGATTTCTCTTCACAGATACTACCAGACCTGCTGAGATTTTCCAGCAACTTTTGATTTTGTTTCTGATTTACAGCATCTGCATATCTTTTAGTTTTCATATTGTGAGTTATAAGGTACTGAACTATTCTCACGGTGAAATCCATGTACCGTTCTGTTATATTTTATGTCAAAAGAACATAATTCTTAGGGTAAGTAGTACTTGTTTTGTCTGAATGCTGCATTCCATGAGAAAAGGAGAAAACATGGTGGGAGGCCAATATTTCAATACCTGGTATACAGGACTAAATTAAAAAGGTGAAGTTATATTACAGTTTAGTTTGATATTGGATATTGCAAGATACATTCTGAATAATAAGTAATACAAGATGGGATTGACTGGCAAGGTTGGACTCACAAATTGTCACAATATTCTTATTTTCAATTTATATTAAAATTTGAGTAATCATGTTTATGATAAATGTGACTTTCTTTGTAGTTCCATTCTTGGAAGTGGCCTGAGTCAGTTTAAATCTGACACATTTGGAGTTCAATTTCCTTTCTTCACAAGATTTCGAAACTGTGCTGACAGGTAATTGACTTTAATGATGTAAAAGTAGATTCCACTGAATCAGCATAGTAGATTTATTACGTGAATGAGAACAGAGAGAACAAGAACAATACAGCACAGGAACAGACCCTTTGTACCTCCAAGCCTGCACTGACACATTTTGCCCTTCCATACTAAAACTGTCTTCACCTACAGGATACGTATCCCCCTATTCACTTCCTATTCATGTTTTCGACAAGGTGCTTCTTGAATGCTGCCATTGTTTATGCTTCCACCACCTCCTCTGGCAGCAGTTTCCAGGTACTCAACACCTTTGATGTAAATCCTTTCCTGGCACATCTCTTTTAAACTTACCCCCCTTGACAATGAACCTGTGTCCCCTAGTAATTGACCCCTCCACTCTGGGAAAAAGACTCATATTTTCCCCAATATCCATGCAATTCACAATCTTAAAAACATCTATCAGGTTGCCCCTCAACCTCTTGCATTCCAGTGAGAACAAACCCAGTGTATCCAATCTTTCTTCATAACTAAAATCCCCCATACCCGGCAACATCCTGGTAAACCTTTTCTGTACCGTCTCCAAAGCATACACATTCTTCTGGTAGTGTGGTTACCAGAACTGTATACAATATTCCAAGTGTGACCTAACTGAAGTTCTATTAAGTTGAAGCATAATTTGCCTAAACTTATGCTCAATGTCCCTTTCAATGAAGGAAGTATGCCATAGGCCTTTTTTATTACCTATCTATCTATGCTGCCACCTTCAGCAATCTGTGGACCTTCACACTCAGATCCCTCTGCATATCAATACTCTTAAGGGTTCTGCAATTCACTGTATAATTTCCACCTGTACTTGACCTTCCAAAATGCATCACCTCACATTTGTTCAAATTACACTCCATCTGCCATTTTTCTGCTGATGCCTCCAAATGATCTATATCCTGTTGTTTCCTCTGACAATCCTCCTCACCATTCGCAACACCACCAATCTTTATACCTCTCACAAACTTACTAATTAGTCCAGCCGTCTTTTCCTCCAAATCATTTACGTAGACCATGAACAGCAGAGGTCCCAGCACTGATCCCAGTGGAACACCACTAGTCGCAATATTCAATTCTGAAAAACATCCTTCCACCTTCTGTATCTAGCTTGCCAGCTCGCCCTGATACCATGTGACTTCATCTTTTGTACTAGTCTGCCATGATGAGAGAGAGAGAAACAACTGGCAATGGTTTAACAGGGGACGGGGGGAGGCGGTGGTGTCTCTATGCCTCAGGCAAGGGGAAAGGTTAAGAGGGTGGGATTTTTCGTGGCAACCACAGCTGGTATAGGAATTGAACCCATGCCGTAGGATATTATCCTACATCACAAACCAGCTATTTAGTTAACTAAGCTAACAATCTCCATTGTATGTAATAACACATAGAGGGTTTGTCTGTGTGGCACATTTATGGTTGAGAATCATGAATTACTTGGTGAAATGGATGGGTTAAATCTCAGTCCATTTTTTGAAAAATGTATTTTAAAGTATATTTTTTACAATGGTATGCAAATGAATGAAAATAATCATTTAAACTATGGAAGATTCCTTTTTTTTGCAGTGAAACAAAAGTGTTTCTTTAAAAATCCCATTCAGAAGAGCTTCAAAGGCATTATCCTTATAGAAATATTCATCTGTTTCAGGAGAAACTTCATTACTGCAGGAGCAGGAGCAGGCATTGCCTCTGTATTTCGAGCCCCAATGGGTGGACTGCTGTTTACATTTGAAGAGGTGGCCTCTTTCTGGGATCTCAAACTCGCCTGGCAGACCTTATTTTGTTGTTTGATGGCAGCGCTTACTACTGATCTCCTGTCCTCTTCGTTTCATGGATTTGTTTATCAGGGACATTTTGGATTCTTCAAGGCTGAAGAGAGTATCTTGTTTGGGGTATGTTCTGCAGAGAGACGTTTGACAGAACTGCATTAATTTAAAATGAACTTTGAGTTGCTGTTAAATTTTCTCAACAATGAAACATCTGACACAAGATAGAAGCTGTTATAAATCACTGAGATTTTTAAAATAAAGTTCACTGAGGGGACTAAAGTTCACTTTGAAATCAGGATGTAAGCCAGTGAAGTATATATTTTCCTGAGGATCAGATGGATACTATGTTCACAGAATATCACTAGTTTTTGTAAAACCCTTGATGAAGTATGGAATTAGATTTTTGAAATATAGATTTTGTGGAATCAGAGCTACAGCAGATGCTGACATTTGTTTTCTATAAACAGGAACATGTAGGAGATCTGGTGAGGATGCAATCTCCTTTTCTCCCCCTTGTTTGACACATCCATAATAACTGGGTGGGTTCATTCCAAACTCGTTCAATCAACACTCTGAGAAACCAAAGTAATATGTTTTTATTAGTGTGGAAATATTGCACTAGAATTTACAACTCTCACTCCCCCAACCAAAACCTGCCTCCTGTAGGTTAGCAGATGGATGGCATTGGCTGCAGGTACGGCTGTTACTCCAGGTATTATCTATCTAGCCTGCTGCTATTTTGTCAACAGTTATGGAAAAGGCAGAGGCCAGTCACGTTCTTAATTGTCCAATGAATAGTCACTAAACGGTCTCCTCTTGCCACTGTTGGCATCTAATTGGCAATGGAATTGACCCATACCATGTTTACAGTTCACTGCTCAGGCTAGTGGCCAGGCAAAGAGGGTGGTAGCTTTTTTGAAGGAGTCACTTCCCCTCTGGAGTCACTCCTTCAGTGTGATTCCATTCCTACTGCAATGTCATCTCTGGATAACAACCTATCTCACTGGGATCTGTCACCTGACGCCAGCAAACCTTCATTTCATGTCACTGCATGCTGATACCTCAGATAATGAGATCATCATAATTTTCTGATATCCACGGGTAGTTTTGAAAGTGTTAAGGGTCTGAAAATATCTTTGAACTATATCCTAAAATGAAGACCAAACCGAGACAATGGATACAGAATTGGCTCAGTGACAGGAAACTGAGAGTATTGGGGAATGGCTGTTTATCAGGCTGCAAGAAATGTAGAGAGGTGTTCACCAAAGGCCTGGCACTTGGACTGCTGCTTTAATTGTTTGTGGATATACAGCATCATTTCACTGAAATTTAACATGGGGATGAACAAGATGGAAGATTTTAAATGGAAGAAAGTGAAGAAGCAGTATAGGCTAAACGGTACAATTTGGAAGACACCTGAGGATATATGTGTAATTGTATTTTTTAAATTCTTTTCATGGGATGTGGGCTTTGCTGGCAAGGCTAGCTTTTATTGCCTAACACTAGCTGCCATGAATGTCTTGACTGGCTTGCTCAATTATTTCAAAGGGTCATTAAGAGACAATCACATTGTTGTGGCTATGAAATCAAATGAAGACCAGACTGGCTGAGAACAGGAGATTTTCTTCCCGAAAGGACATTAGTGAACTAAATGTTATTTTAATGAAACCTAATGCTAGATTCATGGCTGACATTACTTACCAATTCCGGAATTTATTTTTTTGAACTCAAATTCCACCAGCTGTCCCTGGAACCTTAACCTGGGCCTTTGGAATACCACTGATAGTGACATTACCATCACCACCATCCCCCCCCCACCCCCAACTGTATATATGTATTTATTTTTATTAATCCACCCCACTGGATCTACAGCCCCTTGTCAGTCTGTTAGGTCTCATCATATACTCAATGCCAAATATGCAGCCTCAGCAGGAGTTCAGTAGAAGTTAGAGTACTGCTGACTTTGTTTATTTTACCCAGTCTAATTGAAGTATTTAAAGCATCTGCTTTACCAACAAGATGATATTTATGAATTCAGCACTGACCAGGGATGTTAATCTACTAGCTCCTGCTCCATGAGGCTGTGTTGCATATTACTTTAGTATCATCTTCTTGGAGTCTTTTCTTATCTCTATAGGAATACACATTTAGTTCTGAAAGGACTGAAGATTTTTGGTTTTGAATTGCTGCTATCCTTTTTGATTTGTGTTTATCTAGGTTAAATATTTGCTCGACATGAATATTTTAGTCTTCATTCCAACCATTATCTTGGGAATAATAGGAGGTCTGCTGGGAGCATTGTTTGTCTCCATGAACCTGAGAGTCAACAAATTTCGGACAAAATTCTTTAAATTAATTAAATATGAGTTTGTGCAAAAGGTCTGCAAGCTTACAGAGGCGGTCCTAACACTGGTGAGTTTCTTGTGACACTATTGCTGAACACAGATTATTTGATTTATTTTTCCCCCAATATTTTTATTTACATCCTCCTATTTGATCTCTGCTCTTTCACATCATCTTCAGGTGTACTGCTATACTTCAGTTTCAGGCTGATTTTTTCATCATAAGCTGTGTCACACAATTATTGTTATACTACTCAGCTGTCATTCATACTTGTTGTAAGTAGAAATAGAACAATAGAAATATCAAGCATCCTGTCCAGTTATAGTTATAAATCAGTAGGTGGAAGTGGGAAAGGATATTGGTGAAATTATAATCATTAGGGAAGTGGTACTGAACAAACCACTGGAGATGTGGCTGACAAGTCCTCGGATCCTAATGGACTTCAGGCATGGGCCTTAAAAGAATGTTAATGAGCTCCTAGATATGTTGGCATTCATTTTTGAATTTTTTTTGATTACGGAAAGGTTCTATCATCTGGAAAATGGCTAACTTAACCCCTCTATTTAAGCGGAAGGGAGAAATAAAACAGGAAACAATAGACTAGTTAGCTTGGCACCTGTCATAGGTAAGGTATTAATGGATCATTAATGAAGTTTTAGTATAGTATTTAGAAAAACTGAAAATAATTTGAAACAGTCAGCATGGCTTTGTAAAAGGAAAATCATGCTTAATAAATTTATTAGAGTTCTTCAAAGGACTAACATGTGCTATGGATAAAAGGGAGCCTGTTGATATACTGTACCTGGATTTCCAGAAGGCATTTGATAAGGTTGTCTTCTCAGAATAGTTTAGACAGGCTGGGCTGAGTTTATAATAGTGGGGAGTGATTTGATTGAAGTATATAAGATATTGAATGGTCTCGACAAGTTGAACATGGAAAGGATGTTTCCTCTGGTGGGTAAGTCCAGAAATCAGAGGCAATGTTTTAGAATGAGGGGCTCCCCCCTTCTAGGACAGAGACAAGGAGAATTTTTTTTTCTCTCTGAGGATTGTGTGACCTTGGATCTCTTTGCCTCAGAAAGTAATGAAGGTGGGTTCATTAAATATTTTTAAGGTGGAGATAGATACTTTTTTGTTGTGTGCTTTATGTCCACATCCATAGATTTGTGTTCAAGACAGATTGGTTGAGAGAAGACAAGGTTGAGAACTATCTTCAGGCCCGGACTTCTTTGTAATATTTTTACTACATATTCAGATGAAATTCTGCAATATGTTATATTCAGATGTAAACCAGGCTCCAATCTTACTGTTGCATTATTGAAGAATTTTTCCATAAATTTTTGCACTAAATTCTAGTCTGCATGCTTCCAGAATTCACATGGCTAGCCTTAAGGCTCTGCTTCATTCTTCATGTCTTTCTCTCTTCCTCTTAACTCCATCTATATTATGCTATCTATGCCCAGTGAGGATACATCCATGACATCATCCAAGATTTTAACAGGATCCAAAAGACGTTACACAACAGACACATTTTATAAGGCACAAGAATCAAAAGTTAGTGGGGTAGATGTGTATGTGAAATACAAAACAGACAGATCATCTTCAGCTTTATTGAGTGGTGGAACAAGTTCAAGGGGACGAATGGCCAATGGCTACTCCCAATTGACAGTGTACCCAATGTTCCTTCTTTTCTCCAAGGAGAACAGTCCCAACTTCTTCAAACTTTCTCATGATTGAAGTTTCTCATTCCTGTAAATCACTTTTGCACTCTCGCCAATGCATTCACACCTTTCCAATGTGACATTCACATCTGTACACAACACTCCAGCTGTGATCTGTGCACATATACCCCCAAGTTCCTCTGTTCCTACACATCTTCTTACAATTTTACTGCATATTTTACATTGTTTTTCAATTTTCCTCCAATCAAACCTCACACCTCTCTACATTGAACCTCACCTGCCATCTATCCTCCCACTCTGCCAACTTGTCGATGTCCTTTTAGAGTTCTGCACTGTCCTCCTCACAGTTTACAATTCCTCCAAGTTTAGTGTCATTAACTAACTTTGAAATTGTCCCTTGTATACCAAGATCCAGGTCATTAATAAAGATCAGGTAAAGCAAGGGTCCTAATACTGACCCCTGGGGAACTCCACAACAAACCATCCTCCATTGACTAATTTTGTATATATGTTGCTACTGTCCCTTTTATGCCATGACCTATAACTTTTCTCACAATTCTGTTGCATGGCACTGCATCAAACACTTTCTGGAAATCCACGTATACCATATCAACAGTGTCATCCTCATTGACCCTCTTCTCTCTCTTCAAAAATCTCCAGCAAGTTAGTTAAACACAATTTCCTCTTTAGAGTTCCATGCTGACTCTTCTGAGCTGATGCATGGGAATGCCGTTACCTGCAGATGGTTTTCCAAGCTTATTTCCATTATTCCTTGGGACTTTATCACAGTTCCATTACTGTCACAAGATGAGAATCCTTGGACTTCTCCTCCTTCGTACCTTTCCAACAAGTATACCTGAAATTAGAACAGATAAATCATTTATGAAGTTTAATTCTTTGTAAACAATTTTTTTCAGATAATCACAATTACGGCTACTGTCTACGTGCCTTACTTCTTCCCATGCACATTGCTCTCTAGCCATGTAACAGAAAACAGGTAAGAACACACTTTTCTCTTTTCCAATTCCAAACCTTTCCCCCACTCCTCTGTTGAAACCTTTGGTTCTTCATTGAAATATTATTTTGTAGGAAAAATTGATTTTACCAACAGGTGTGAGATTTGGTTTTAAATGTTTGTTGGCTATTCACTTGTGTAAGTCACTCTGTTCTTATCCATTGTTCAGACACCTGCTTCCTTCAATGATCATTGAATAATCAGTAGCAAGGGACTAATGTTACCACCAGGGAGGAGAAATATCTTAAACTTTGTTCTCTTTTCTTACTGCCTGTAATCAGTGTAACTTTGAAAAGGGAGATGTGTATTTCTTAACTTGTGATTTTCTTGTTAATTTGAATTGCCAGCAGCCATGTACTGTCTGTATAATTAAAGAAGGTTGTTTATTCATCTCATTACCCCCAAATCTAACACTGCACCTCTCACTCGTCACCCATAACTCACACACATGTAGGAGAAGTGGACAGTTAAATTTTACAAGTTACAAATAAAGGAACAGTTCATTAGTGTAGGTCTGGTGAAGTGGTTCTTTTCTACTCTTGAACTATAAACATAGAAACATCTAAAATAGGATCTAGAATAGGCTTTCAGCCCTTTGAGTCTGCTCCACCATTCAATATGATCCTGGCTGATCACCTGACTCAGGAACAAGGTGCTGTTCGCATTTTTTCCCCATATCCTTTGATTCCTTTATTCCAAAGAACTATATCTAACTCCTTCATGACAACATTCAATGTTCTGGTCTCAACTTGTGGCAGAGAATTCCACAGGCTCACCATTGCCTGGGTGAGGAAACTTCAGATCAGATGAGTTCAATATCTAAATATGTTTATTATTCAAAGAGATGTACTTTCCAGCATTAGATGAAGTCAGTTGTTCATAGTCTCATTATAGAACATATTTCTTATGCTGCTATAGAACATAGCAGCATAAGAAATAGGAGTAGGAAATGACTATTTGGCCCCTCAAACCTATCCTGCCATTTATCAAGATCATATTACTTTGAGTTTTTTTTGCACGTTTTGACTTTTAGAGAAACAGTGGAAAGAAATTGCTGCCCTTACTGCTGCTGTTTCTTGCTATATTGTTTGTGGGCAGACTGGTTTCTCCCTGGTTCTTGGGTGTGATAAGACTCTGTGTGACTTTAGTGTGATCTGTGATCAGATTTGTTTGTTTGTCCAGAATGATTTGAATTTGGAAGTCACTGCTTTAAAATGAGGAATGGTTTGAGGTCATTCATGAGGATATTCATTTATTCATTTCAAGCCCACCGACTCCCACAGCTACCTAGAATACTCCTCCTCCCACCCACCTTCCTGCAAAAATGCTATCCCCTATTCCCAATTCCTTCACCTCCGCCGCATCTGCTCCCAGGATGAGGCATTCCACTCCCGTACATCTCAGCTGTCCTCGTTTTTCAAGGACCGTAACTTCCCCTCCTCGGTGGTCGAGAACGCCCTCAACCGTGTCTCCCACATCTCCCGCACCTCATCCCTCACACCCCGTCCACGCAATAAGAACCAAAAAAGAATCCCCCTCGTCCTCACGTACCACCCCACCAACCTCCGGATCCAACGCATCATCCTCCGACACTTCCGCCATCTGCAATCCGACCCCACCACCAAAGACATCTTTCCCTCCCCACCTTTATCTGCTTTCCGGAGGGACAACTCTCTCCGTGACTCCCTTGTCCGCTCCACACTCCCCTCCAGCTCCACCACACCCGGCACTTTTCCCTGCAACCGCAGGAAGTGCTACACCTGCCCCCATACCTCCTCCCTCACCCCCATCCCAGGCCCCAAGAAGACTTTCCACATCAAGCAGATGTTCACCTGCACATCTGCCAATGTGGTATACTGCATCCGCTGTACCCGGTGTGGCTTCCTCTACATCGGGGAAACCAAGCGGAGACTTGGGGACCGCTTTGCAGAACACCTACGCTCGGTTCGCAACAAACAACTGCACCTCCCAGTCGCGAACCATTTCAACTCCCCCTCCCATTCCTCAGACGACATGTCCATCCTGGGCCTCCTGCAGTGCCACAATGATGCCACCCGAAGGTTGCAGGAACAGCAACTCATATTCCGCTTGGGAACCCTGCAGCCCAATGGTATCAATGTGGATTTCACAAGTTTCAAAATCTCCCCTCCCGCCACCGCATCCCAAAACCAGTCCAGCTCGTCCCTGCCTCCCTAACCTGTTCTTCCTCCCACCTATCCCCTCCTCCCACCTCAAGCCGCACCTCCATCTCCTACCGACCAACCTCATCCCGCCCCCTTGACCTGTCCGTCCTCCCTGGACTGACCTATCCCCTTCCTAACTCCCTACCTACACTCACCTTTCCTGGCTCCATCCCCGCCTCTTCGACCTGTTTGTTTCCTCTCCACCTATCCTCTCCTCTATCCCTCTTCTATCCGCCTCCCACTCTCTCCCTATTTATTTCAAAACCCCCTTCCCCTCCCCCTTTTCTGATGAAGGGTCTAGGCCCGAAACGTCAGCCTCTCTGCTCCTATGATGCTGCTTGGCCTGCTGTGTTCATCCAGCCCTGCACCTTGTTGTCACTGAAACAGTTGAATTCAGTTTTTAATTACAAGAAATTTTATGATTCTTTTGAGTCTGTTATAGATTAAATATGAAATTCAGTGATTCTGTTGAATTTTCCATTAAGCATCTCAATAAGGGGTCTTGTTGCTCAAAATGGGAAGTCAGAATTGCCCGTTTTCACTTCCAGACTATTGCAGATGAGGTAATTTTAATGTCCCCATTGTTATCCTTATTAGCTAACTAAGTAGCCACCAGAAATTGAATCTGCGACCTGCACTATATGTTTCTGAATTGGTACTTTTACTTTTGAACCAACTGAGAGCCCCGGGTAATGGATTTTTAATATTCAGTATCCTTCATTCATCATCAGTGTGATTTAAACAAGTTTTGTAAGTGAACAAGTGCATGGTGGATGAAGTATAATGTGGATTTATGTAAGGTTATCACTGTTCTTGCAAAAACAGAAAGGTGGGTGTTTGGCATGCTTGCCTTCATTGCTCAGTCCTTTAAGTATGAGAGTTGGGAAGTCAAGCTGAGTTTGTACAGGACATTGGTGAGGCCTCTTCTGGGATACTGTGTCTAGTTCTGGTCGTCCAGTTATAGGAAGGATATTATCAAGATGAAGAGGGTTCAAAAGAGGTTTACTAGGAAATTGCCAGGTACGGAAAGTTTGAGTTATAAAGAAAGGTTGGACAGGCTGGGACATTTTTTACTGGAGTGTAGGAGGTTGAGAGGTGACCTGATAACAAGTACAGAAAATAATGAGAAGTATAGATAGAGTTAATGATAGTTATCTTTTCCCTAGGATGGGGGATTTCAAGATGGAGGGGCACATTTTTAGGGTGAGAGGAGAGAGATTTAAGAAAGACATGAGAGGTAAATTTTTTTACAAAAAGGGTGGTTTGTATGCGGAATGAACTTCCTAACGAAGTGACAGATGCGGGTACAATTACAACATTTAAAAGACATTTGGATAGCTTCATGAATAGGAAAGTTTGGAGGGATATGGGCAGGAGCAGGTAGGTGGGACTAGTTTAGTTTGGGATTATGTTTGCCATGGACTGGTTGGACCAAAGGGTCTGTGTGACTCTATGACTCTATCTGAATGGCAATAGACTGTGAAGGGAGGAGGTGCAACAAGTCCTGAGTATTCTTGTACATCTGATGCTGAACGTAAGCATGCAGGTGCAGCAGGTAGTGAAGAAGGCAAATGTTATGTTGGCCTACATAGCTAGAGGATTTCAGTACAAATCAGGGATGTCTCGCTGCAATTGGGGTTTCGTGAGACCACACCTGGAATATTGTGCGCAATTCTGGTCTCCTAATCTTGGGAAGGATGTTCTGGCTATGGAGGGAGTACAACAGAGATTTATCTGACTGATTCCTGGGACGGCAGGATTGATGTATGAAGAAAGACTGGATCGCTTAGGACTGTATTCACTGGGGTTTAGAAGAATGAGGGGGGTATCATAGAAGCCCATAAAATTTGAACAGGTCCAGACAGAGAATGTTCCCGATTACTGGGGAGTCCAGAACCAGACTTCACAGTCTAAGGATATGTAGCAGGCCATTTAGGACTGAGATGAGGAGAAATTTCTTCAGGTTACCGAGTTGGATGATCAGCCATGATCAAATTTAATGATGGAACAAGCTCAGAGGGCTGAATGACCCACTCCTGTTCCTATTTATTACATTTCTGAAATTGTTATGTCTGATCACCACCACATTACTAAATATCAATACCCTTTCCTCCTAGCTACTCACTCAAGTGTGAATTCAGTCATCTCCTGTTTGGTATTGAGTTGATTTCTACTCACCTTAAACCACTCACAGTGGACCAAAAAGAAATCAGAATGTTTTCTAAGTTGTTAGGAGCTAGAAACTGTGTGTGAACAGGGAGTTTTATTGTCCAAGTACAGAAATCACTACCAGCGGATGGGTAAAACAAAAATATAACGGCTAATGGAATTTATTTGGAGCAATGCATTCTATTCTGGGCACCACATCTCACGAATTATATTGTGGTTTTGGAAGGAGTGCAGTGCAGAATTACTAGAATTTTATGGAGAAAAATAGGTCAGGTTGCATAGAGTTATTTTTGTATTCCCTTGCATGTGGAAGGTTGAAAACTGTATTTTTCATGGTATTTAAGATGATTGAAGGAAGTGATAAAAAGAAAAAAGGGAACTATTTCCTTTGCTGGGGAATCCAGATCAAAGGGTCATAACTTTAAAAATTAAAGCTCTGCCATTGAGGGTGATGTCAGAATATACGTACTGTAATCATATTGCAGAAATCTGAAACACTCAAATTGAGGCAGATTGTCGCTGGGTGGGATGAGTTATGGAAAAACCAGAAAAATGTGTGCATGTTACTTAGTGGGCCAGCATGTCTTATATACTTCATAATGGAGCTCCAGTATAACTAGTACATTTGATTTCAAATATCACTTGTATCTACAAGGTTTTTCCCTCAATGTTGGAGCTTATCAGAGGCAGCCTTGTCACTGGGTGTGGTCATTCAGGGCTCAATTGAGGCAGACTGATTCCAGGTGTTGTGAGTGCATGGTGAGTTGGTGCTTGATTGAGGCAGTCTGTTACGGGGCAAGGAAGAGTGGAATCCAGGTTTGCTAAACTGTGGCACCACAAGTTTAAATCACATTTGACCTGCCAAATCAAAGGATTAATGTGTCTTCCCCAACTCCCAACTGCTGGGTAGAGATATTCCACACAGGTCTTGTCAAGCCAGGGGTGGGGAGATGGTGGTTGAATGTCTTGGTTAGGTAAAGGTCTTTCTGAGTTTCCTCTGTTAATAGTAAGTTTGCAGATGACACTAAAATTTCGTGGTGTAGTGGACAGTGAAGAAGGTTACAAAAACAGAAATTGCTGGAGAAGCCCAGCAGGTCTGGCAGCATTTGTTGAGAGAAATTAGAGTTAATGTTTTGGGTCCGGTGAGGTAAGGTCACTGGACCTGAAATGTTAACTCTAATTTCTCTTCACAGATGCTGCCAGACCTGCTGACCTTTTCCAGCAATTTCTGTTTTTGTTTCTGATTCACAGCATCTGCAGTCCTTTCAGTTTTTAGTGATTAAGGTTGTCTCAGAGTACAATGGGACCTTGATCAGGCAGGCTGATAGGTTGAAGCGTAGTAGATGGAGTTTAATCTAAATAAAGGTGAGGTGTTGTAATCAGAGCAGGACTTATACACTTAATGGTAAGGTCCTGGAGAGTGTTGTGAAACAAAGAGACCTTAGGGTTCAGGTCCATAGTTCCTTGAAAGTGGAGTCACGGGTAGACGGTGCAGTGAAGAAGGCGTTTGGCATGCTTACCTTCATTGGTCAGTGCATTGAGTATAGGAGTTGGAATGTCATGTTGTGGCTGTACAGGGCATTGAACAAAGAGCAAAACAGTACAGAAACAGGTCCTTTGGCCCTCCACACCTGTGCCGACAGATTTTTGCCCTTCCATACTAAAACTGTCTTCACTTACAGGATCCGTATCCCTCTATTCCCTTCCTATTCATGTATTCAACCAGGTATTTCTTGAATGCTGCTATTGTGCCTGCTTCCACCACCTCCTCTGGCAGCGCGTTCCAGGTACTCACCACCCTTGTGTGAAAAACCCGCTTCGCACATCTCTTTTAAACTCCCCCCAACCCCGGCACCCTTGCACCTTGAACCTGTGTCCCCTAGTAATTGACCCCTCCAGCCTGGGAAAAAGCCTTATACTTTCCATTCTATCCATGTCATTCACAATCTTAAAAACTTCTATCAGGTTGCCCCGCAACCTTTTGCATTCGAGTGAAAACAAACCTATCCAAACTTTCTTTATAGCTAAAATCCCCCATACCATACAACATCCTGGTAAACCTTTTCTGTACCCTCTCCAAAGCATCCACATCCTTTTGGTAGTGTGGTGACCAGAGCTGTACACATTGGATAGGCCACTTTTGGAATACTGCATTCAATTCTTGTCTCCCTGCTATAGGAAAGATGTTGTTAAACTTGGAAGGGACAGAAAAGATTTACAAGAATGTTGCTGGGGTTGGAGGGTTTGAGCTATAGGGAGAGGCTGAATAGGCTGGGGCTATTTTCCCTGGAATGTTGGAGGCTGAGGGGTGACCTTATAAAAGTTTATAAAATCATTAGGTACATGGATAGGGTGAATAGTCAAGGTATTTTTCCTAGGGTGCAAGAGTCCAAAATAGCAGGCATAGGTTTAAGGTGAGAGGGCAATGATTTGAAAGGGACCTAAGGTGCAACTTTTTCATGCAGAGAGTGGTGTGTGTATGGAATGAGCTGCCAGAAGAAGCGGTGGAGGGTGGGACAATTACAACATTTAAATGGCATCTGGATGGGTATATGACTAGGAGGGGTTTAAGAGAGATATGGGTCAAATGCTGGCAAATGAGACTAGATTAATTTAGGATATCTGATCGGCATGGATGAGTTGGACTGAAGGGTCTGTTTCCGTGCTGTACATCTCTCCCTCTATAACAGTGACAACAACTTGTATTTATATAGCAACTTAATGTAACAGTCTGTCCAAAATGCTTCTCAAATGGCCGAGTCCTAGAGGGCATTGTTACTAGACTGTGACTGCAGCAGGTGGTGAGGGAACCAACAAGGGGGAATAACATGCTTGACCTCACCCTCACCAATCTGCCTTCCACAGGTGCATCTGTCCACGATAATATCGGTAAGAGCGATCATCATATGTCCTTGTAGAGATGAAGTCCTGTTGATGCATTGAGAATATCCCATATTGTGTTGAGTGGCACTATCATTGTGTTAAATGGATTAAGACTTGATGATTGCCATGGTCATTAACATCTGGAGGGGAAATGCTGAGAAATCCATTGGATCTGTCATGATCTCATTTTCAATTTGATGTGCACTGTGGGATGTTTGATCATAGCCTGTTACACATATTTATTACCTATTAATTCTGGGCGTTATAAATATGTTGTGCATGCTTTGTCGATTCTATTTCTGTTCTAATACTATATACTGAAGATTTTCTCATTTGACTAAAAGTGTGGAATCTTGTGGTTTTATTATCTTAGCAAGCCATTTGGATGGCTCAATTTGTTTACTTTAAAAATCATGGTTATTAGTCTGTTGCCAGATCGTAATATAAGGTTAATCATCTGGTGCGGAATTCTGACAGTTTTGGTTGATGATAGAACAATAGGAGGTTGTAGATTTATAGTTTTAGATGAGTTACAGGGAGTATATGAGGAAGAACTCTTTATGATTTGAAAAAGATCTATGATGGATACTTGACGGAAATAAACATGTAAGGTTATGTTTGGGGAAGTAGGACTGGGTTGCTCTTCAGAAAGCAAGCATAAACTTGATGGAATGAATGTCTCATTCTAGTTTATCTATCTAGAGCAATGCTGCACTCCATCTACTGCTGCATCACCTTGTTTAATAAATTATCCCAGGGGGTAAAATGTTGGCCATTCTCTATGATCTTTGGTTATGTCTGATCTTAATTTTGCTGAGTGCATATAGTTTCAAATAGCTAGCGTGTGACTATAGTTTCAGGTCAAGTGAAAGCAATGAATTAATTTTGCTTTTAACAAAATCCATCACATGTAATGGTCTTTGAGTGTCCAGATTTATTGATACTGATTTTATTGCTTCCTATGCATGGGATTTGAGTTCCTTATATTTTGCATCACTAGACCAATTCCATAATCATCGTGCTAAAATATCCTTATCCTTGTGTGAAGAAAGACTTTGATGTCAGACATAAGATGACCTTTTACTCGTTTGTTTCACAGCCACACCTAAAAGTAATATACTCAAATAACATTTTCCATGCCTTTTCTCTATCTTCTGCCTTTATGATAAGATTATTTCTCTCGTGTTTGTTCTAGGCAGAAAAGCTAACATTGTGTCATAGTTCTACATGTATTCTTATAAATTTCTAGTGGAGATCAGCTTCATTACTTTGCACTATCACTGCTGTTGAATGTCTTACTTTTATCTTGATATGCAAAAGGCATTGGAATTAAGTCTATAAATAGATCGTGATGCTACGGTGTTATTGATTTTCCTGATTTTGCCCTTGTTCCCCATTTGGCAGATCAATGCACTGTAGTAGTCCTGCACTTTACAATCAAAATTTATTGCTCACTTTTCATATAGAGCTAGATGCTTAAAACTAACTCTCTGGCTAATGTTGAATTATTAAGAAGTAACATTTTGAAAGTGATACCTTGCCTCTATTTTTTAAATTTGAAGTCACATCATTCAAGATGGCAGCCAAATTGACATAAATTAATAAATGAATAAGGGACATACAGAATAAGTTGCACTGAATTGTTCTAATTAAAATGCCTAAAATTCACATTTCTTCTGAAATGTTTTAATCATTGTTGTAATAAAGTATTGTTATTGCAGTGCTGATTCTAAATTTCGTAGGAACAACGATAGGAACTTTAACATATTTCTCAGCCTCCTATTTTTATAAATTCTATTTTCAGCAGTTAGTAAGTGTTCGTAATTCATCTTCTAACACTCTCTTTGTTCTCTATTGTTAAATTTATTGTGAGAAACATAATCAATTTTTTTCTCTCAATGGTTAACTAGATCATTATACTACAACATTTCAGCAGAGGCTTCTCACCTACTGAGTAACACAGAGTATTTTAATTCATACAACTGTCCATCGGGAACAACCTGGATTGGATCCAATGGTGTAAAACATTCAAATCACACTTACAATCAAGGTAATATTGGAAAAACTTCTGGAATTTTTGAGGGACTGATATTCAGTTCAAATTTCTGTTGAATCTTCCATGACATGCATGTCAAATCATGTAAGTGGCAGAGAGATTTTTAATTATTTTGATGTGAGATGATCATTTTGGAAAGTTCAGTCATTTATCTGTTCCAATTAAGCTTCTTAGTGACCTCAATTGTTAATAGTAGAGGATTCTGCTAAGTTGAAAGTCACATGGATGTTTTTATAATTTTCGGTTAGGAAACAACTAGATATCACAAAGTTCGTTTGGATGGATGAAATGTTCTTCCTTATCTATTCTTAGCATGTTGGCATTTATTTTTAGTGCCACTGTGGTTATTTGCACAATAATGCATATAATAACGATATATATTGAGTGTAAGATCTTTATGAAATATAATAGCCGAAAATACCCAGAAGTATCAAGTGACGGTTATAGATTTCATATAAAATCAATTATTCTTTAACACTTTTGTCAGGTTATTTATTTTCTCTTACACTCACCAGAACAGAATCTTAAAAATGCCAAATCTCAAAGGGAACAGTAGTTTACATGTTGATGTGACTGATCACGGAGTACATCCCTAGTATGATACAATTCCAGATGGGAATCCCTCAAATGTAATATTGGTGCCATACAAGAGCGATGAAGTGATCATCACCAACAAGTGAGAATCTAACAACTGCTTCTTATCATTCAATGGCATTGCTATCATTGAATCCCCCATTATCAACATCCTGGGAGTTATTATTGTCAAGAAACTGAACTGGACTGGCCTTGTGGCTACAAGAGCAGATCAGAGGCTAGGAGTCTTCAACTCACTCCTCAAAGCTATCCTGTAGGACAGAAGTTAGGAGTCAGGAATAATCACTTGCCTGGATGGGTGCAGCTCCAGTAAAACTCAAAAATCTTGATGCCATTCAGGGCAAAGTAGCCCACTTGATTGTTACCACATCCACATGCCTTACTTCCTCTACCACTGTAGCTCAGTAGCAGCAGAGTGTGCAGAAATTCACCAGGCCTGCTTAGACAACACCTTCCAAACCCTTGAGCACTATTATCTAGAAGGACATGGGCAGCAGATACATGGGAACAACAGTACCACTTGGAAGTTCTCCTCCAAGGCAGCCACCATCCAGACTTGGAAATATATTGCTATTCCTTCACCGTCGCTGGGTAATAATCCTGGAACTCCCTCCTGAACAGCATTATGGGTCTACCTATAGCAAATGGACTGCAGCAGTTAAAGAAGGGAACTCACTGTCACCTTCTCAAGAGCAATTAGAGTTGGACAATGAATGCTGGCCCAGCCACCAAAACCCACATCCCCTGAAGTAATTTAAAAATATGGCTGTGCTCTGGGTGAAGAGGAATGAACTGGCTCCCCATCTTTACTCAATTCCCACATCTCACAGTTGCTCATGCTAAGGTTAATTTTAAATTTAATTAATTTTAAAAAAGAATTCTTCCCTCACAGATACCTTTTCCAGTATTTTAAATTAAACCAATGTTACCAGGTTTCCTTGAGTTAACGAAAGAGTGAGTTTATTAAAATGTGAGAATTATTAAATAAAGGCATCACAAATACACAGATTAGAAATGAAAGGTGAGTCAAAAAAGTAAAAGTTGAAAGAAAGATCTACATTAATGAATAGATTGTAAAATGTTGTGATCATTAAGAGGGTAATTCAGGTAATACTGACTTTGGCACTTGAATAATTGTATAGAGATTCTTGGTTCAGCAGTTAGCTGAATGGAATTTATCCATTTTCCTTCAACAGTGGTTTTCCTGACTTGACTTGTTTGAGTCATCAGAGAGTGACTTTATTTCTTTTTACCTGAACATTCAGGAATATCTAGTAGAAGTTCTCAGCTGTGTCTCTTTCAGTTTAGCACAGATTAACTCGAGCCACTCGTTGGCACATTTACAGACTTGGGGTTAGAGTTTTCTTTTTTAGATCCATTTCTTCTATATTCCTGGAAGAGTAAAACACAAATGTATATTTCACCCAGATCTACCTTTCTTTCAAATCTTAATATGTTCACAGTCGGGGGCATAAACCCAAGAAATCACAGTTTAGGTTTTGAATGGCATCTCCTCATTTGAAGTGTTGCTGTCTGAAGTTCCCTCGACATTATTCAGGTGTGATCTTTCATGAATCTTTTTGGGACTCAATGTAATTCAGACAGGGATTTTAGATGGCCATAGAGTTTGGATCTTTAGCCATTTTTTTTCTTGCGAGCCTTTTGTTTAAAAAGCACATGTTGTATTGAAAAAAAATTGATATATCCATAGGTAGTTCAAGTTTGTGATCCATTTTCATATAATTGAATGAGGAGAGGATATTGATTTTTTTGTCAAACGGATTCTGATTGGTAGAGGCTGCTTTGGAGAATATACAAGGGAAAGCTAACTTTCAAGCTTCTGTTTTCAATCAAACCAGACAGGTTGACCCTGATTGTTTAAAGCATTGCCATAGGGAAAGCACACAGGAATAAATGTCTCCTTTGATTAGTTGAAAAGTCAAATGTTGGGCATGTACTTTCTTTTTGTAAAGGAACCATACTATAAACCTGACTGATAATTTTAACTTGGCTTTTCACACAATTCTTAGGACAATCTAGATGGTCACTCATGGAATAAAGTCTAATATATATACAGTAATTTCTGAGTTTTACAAGCAAGGAGTAGCTGAGTACAGTCAGTACGCTGCCCATTGCAAATAGCTGAAAGAACTTGGTATAATGTTGACAGTTAGTTGTTCCATAATGCATTCTCCGTGCCAATGCAACTACCAATCATAGTCAACTTACAAGCTGATCAGCTCTTCTCATGAGTGTAAATTTTTGTTCCTTTTCAAAATTGCACTTCTTGTGATTCTATTCTGATGAGTGCAGGAAAAGAAAATTTTAATAGCATTTTTATTTTTAGTTTCGGCCGTACACAAGTTCTGTACTTTTAAATAAATTGCTCACAGGATCTCAGTATCACTGGCAAGGCTAGCATATACTGCCGATCCATAATTGCCCAGAGGATAGTTAAGAGCCACCACATTGCTCTGGGCTGCAGTCATGTGCAAGCCAGATTGGTTAAAGACAGCAGACATAATTTTCTAAAGGGCATTAGTGAACAATATGCTTTTTTAAAATGACAACCAATAGTGGTCACATGATCACCATTAGGCCAGGTCTTTATTCCAGATTTTTATTGAATTCATGTTTCACCATATGCTGTGGTAGCGTTCAAAACTATCTCACCAGAACTTCGGCCCAGGGGTCTGGATTTCCAGCCCAGTGATATTATTACTACATCACTGCTTCCCCTAAGCAACTTTAAAAATATCCAATCAATTAAAAACAAAGGAGCTCACCCTGAAATATTAACTTTTCATTGTTTTCCTCCAAGGTGCTGACAGTTCTGTTGAGTATTTCCAGCAATTTCTGTATTTATTACATACTATTATGTTAAAGGTGCCATCTAAATGTAATTTATTGTTTTTTTTATTGTGGATCCACAGTACTTTCTTAACTGTTGTGTCTGCCATCAGCTGCTGCGCTTCTGTTTGGTAATGGACAGGATGGAATTGTGTATCTCTTCAGAAGAGGAACGCCTGAAGAATTTGGATATGCTGCTCTCTTCACAACCCTTATTATTTACTATCTATTTTCTTGTTGGACAGCTGGTACTGCTATGGCATGTGGACTTGTCATACCAATGCTGTAAGAAGCATTTTAGTCTAATAGAGACGTGTTTTCCAGTGTACTCTCTAAAAAGGCTGACAAATAATTGTGTTTATCTGACAAATCAACCTAAATTTTTGTTATTAATTTAATTCCAGTGAAAATCCAACACTTCCAACCTCCATAAACTTAATCCCCTTCAAAACATTGCTGTTTGTTTCCTAATCTGCACTAGATTCCCATCTCACATCCCTCATTTGCCATGACTTACATTGGCTCCTGGTTAAGCAATGCCAAATTTTTACATTCTCATCTTGTTTGTAGATCCTTTAATACCCCTTGTGCTTCTCCATCTCTATAACTTTCTCTAGCTCTGCAAGTCTTTGATATACCTGCCCTCCTCTGATCCTTGCCTACTGGGCATTTCTGATATTAATCATTCCAACTGCAGGATGGCACGGTGACACAGTGGTTAGCACTGCTGCTTCACAGTCCCAGAGACCTGGGCTCAATTCCACCCTTGGGTGACTGTCTGTGTGGAGCTTGTATATTTCCCCTGTATCTGCATGGGTTTCCATTGGATGCTCTGGTTTCCTCCCACAAAGATGTGCAGGTTAGATGGATTGGCTATGCTAAATTGCCCTCTAGTGTGCAAGCTAGGTAGACTAGCTACAATAAGTGTGGGGTTACGGGTATAGGGTGAGATGCTCTTCAGAGTGTTAGTGCAGACTTGATGAGCTGAATGGCCTTTGTCTACTGTGGGCATTCTATGATTCTAACTCTGCCAACCATGCCCACAACTGCCAACATCCTCAAGTCTGGTATCCTTCCATAAACCTCCTTCACTTGCCCAATCTTCTGTAAAACATTCTTTTTACACTAAGCTTCCAACTACCTGCTCCAATACCTCATGTGGTTTAGTGTCAAATTTTATTTGATGAGACTCGTGAAGTGTATTGGGATTTTTCACAGCATTAAATAGCCTGTATAAAATGCAAGTTGTTGCTGCAGCTGTTATTGTCAAAATGGTTTGGAATGAAAAATCTGATGCACCCACTCTCTGCTTGTTTTACCTGCGTTGATTTCTGATGAAGCTGGTTTTTAACCTTCATCAGTCTCTGATAGAGCTTGACTAACTTACACCAATGTCTGATACAGCCTGACTTTACTGGGTTATTCTAACCTACGTTAATCTTTGGAACAGCTTATTTTATATGTGTTGACTTAATACGGTTTACCTTTACACATGCCAATCTCTGATAAAACCTGTCTTCACCTGTGACAGCCTATCTTTAACCGTGCCAATCTCTGATACATCCTGTCTTTAACCGTGTCAACACTGGATACAGCCCATCTTTACCTGTGTTAACATCTGATACAGCCTGTTTTGCCTACGTTAACATCGATATAGCCTGTCTTTACCTGTGTCACCCTCTGATACAGCTTTCCTGTACTTGTATTAATCTCCAATACAGCTTGCCTTTACTTGTGACAGCCTCTGATACATCCTTCTTTATCTATCTTAACAACTGATGCAGTCTTTCTTTAATTGCATCACTATCTAGTGTAGTCTGTTTTAGTCATAGAGTCATAAAGCACAGAAATGGACACTTTAGTCCAACTCATCCATGCCGATCAGACATCCCAATCTGACCTTTTCCAGCATTTGGCTCATATCCCTCTAAATTCTTCCTATCCGTATACCCATCCAGATGCCTTTTAATTATTGTAATTGTATCCACCTTCACCACTTCCTCTGGCAGCTCATTCCATACACGCATCACCCTCTATGTGAAAAATTTGCCCCACAGGGCCCTTTTTAAATCTTTCCCCTCTCACCTTAAATCTGTGCCCTCCAGTTTTGGACTCCCCCACTCAAGGAAAAAGGCCTTGGTTCTTCACCTTATCTATGCCCCTCATGATTTTATAAACTCTATAAATTCATCCATCAGCCTCCTACACTCCAGGGAAAAAAGTCCCAGCCTATTTAGCGTCTCCCTATAGCTCAAATCCTCCAATCCCAGCAACATCCTTGTAAATCTTTTCTGCACCCTCTCAAGTTTACCAGCATCCTTCCTATAGAAGGAACACCCGAATTGTACGCAGTATTCTGAAAGTAGCTTCACCAATGTCCTGTACAGCTGCAGCATGACATCCCAACTCCTATACTCAGTGTTCTACCCAATAAAGGCAAGCATGCCAAATGCTTTCTTTGCCACCCTGTCTACCTGCGACTCCACTTTCAAGGAACTGTGCACCTGCAACCCTAGGTCTCTTTGTTCAGCAACACACCAGGGCCCTACCATTAACTGCATAAGTCCTGCCCTAGTTTGCTTTACCAAAATGCAACACCCCATATTTATCTAAATTAAACTCCATCTTCCAATCTTCAGCTTTTTGGCCCATCTGATCAAGGACCCGTTGTACTCTGCAATAATCTTTTTCACTGTCCAATACCTATTTTGGTGTCATTTGAAAACTTATTAACCATACCTCTTACATTCACATTCAATTCATTTAATGACAAAAAGCAGTGGACCCAGTGCCGATCCTTGCAGTATACCGCTGATCACAGGGCTCCAGTATGAAAAATGACTCTTTATTATCACACATAAGTGAGGTCATATTTTGGGCAATTTTTTGGAACATTTTCCCTATAGCCTACCTCTGATCGTCTAGATAATGATCTCAGTAGGAATTGCCCAAATAGCAGCAGAGGGGTATTATAATGAAGGACAACCCTGATCATAAGAATGTTACTCCCACATCTCTACATCCCTGGGCTATATCATTTTCCTTTCTCCAGAGAAATATTTCATGTTTGATCTTTCCTCTTTGTTCTTCCAAAGAATTTCCAAGTGGTAAATCAGAAGCACAATAGGTTTTACACTTTATATTCTTGATGTATAATACTTGTAATCTTTCACCAGTAAAATGTAATTGTAGAACTATTTGAATTATGTTCTGAAATTTTTCATAAGGTAAAATATGTGTGAAGTGTCCTAGAACTGATTATCTTCTCCATCAGGTACACTGGAGCATTATATGGCAGGATAATTGGTCTCATCATGGTGTCGATGTTTGGTGTCCGAACTGACAAGTATGGGGCTTGGATAGATCCTGGCCTTTTTGCAATAATTGGAGCTGCCTCATATTTCTGTGGGGTATCTAGACTGACAATCTCGCTCACTGCTATCATGGTAAGATATGTTCATTGAAATCATCACTAATTATTTTTGCCAATAGTGGCTTTGTTTTCTAACTTTACACTGCTCAGATTTAGATATCTTAGAAAACACCAACTATATGCCACATATTTGTGGTACTGGCTCAAGTTTCTTTCTGTTTCTGCCTCTGATTACTGTGATTGTTTTATTGTTGTGTTCTGTCCCTACTTGATACTCCCTTTTCTATTGGTAAAAGCTTTTGACTTTGCTGCTGCAATTTGATCAGATTCCATGAAAGATATTGTGTCTTTGTTGCTCACTCAAAAATAGACTCAAAATCACTCAAAAATAGTTTCTTAAGACTCCCTTAAGAATTCTGGGGTTTACTCAAATCTGTTGGTCTTTGTCAGAGATTGTATAGTTTTAACAAAACTTACTTATTTTTAAGCTCCAATCCCCCAGCAATGAAGGCCAAAATTCCAATCACCTTCTTCCTTACTTGCAGCACATGCATACTAAGACTTTGAGTTTCATGCACAAGAACACCCAGTTCCCTCTGCATGGCACTTTTGTTTCAGTCTTTTTCTGTTTAAGTAATAGTCTGCCTTTTGATTCTTCTGAACAAGGTGCACAACCTCACTGTTTGCTGCATTGAACTCCATATGTCAAGTTTTTTGGCCATTCTCTCACCCTATCTATATCCTCTTGCAGATTCCTTATTTCATCATCACAACACGTCCTCCCAACTATTTTTGTATCGTCCTGAAATTTTCTGAAGAAGGGTCCCGACCTGAAACGTCAGCTTTCCTGCTCCTCTGTTGCTGCCGGGCCTGCTGTGTTCCTCCAGCTCCACACTGTGTTATCTCAGACTCCAGCATCGGCAATTCTTACTATCTCTGAACACATTGAAGAAGCTCTCTGTTGTTGGGTTTTATCTCACCCACCTCTGTCTTTTTTGCCCAGGTCCACTCATCCAGTCTGTGTCACAGAGATGCTGACTTCCTGGCCAGTTTTCCCAATCCCGTTTCAGACACATAACTACATTTTATTGCAAACACATCGATGCTCTGACAGGCAACATTGAAGAACTAACCAAGATGAAAACTGCATTTGGGACACAATTGTTTCAACTTTTCCCAATAATTACAATCCAAGTTCGGCCTCCTCATTCTGTCTCACCTTAAGTATTGTTATCTTTGAAAATTGGATTGTAATTCATTTGGAAATGTTAAAAATGGAAAATGTCATTTTTAAAAAGAATTATAAGTGCAGCTCTAATACCCTGCAGTAATAATCTGCTTCATATTTTTCAATAAGTGTCAGAAACACTTCATCACACAAGAGGTTGTGGAAATTGGAATTCCCTCCAGCAAAAAAACTGTTACAATAAGGTCAATTGAAAATGTCAAGACTGAGATTGATAGTAAACTTTTAAGAGTCATGGAACCAAGGTAGTGGGGTGACTTCAGATACCAATCAGCTGTATCTACCCTCACAGCTGCAGAGGCCTGTTTTCTACCCATTGTTGCTCTGAGCAAACAGTCAAAGGCAGGAAACTTTGGTTGAGGTATACTGTCGTTCGTAAGAGACCTTGACCCCTGGTTACCGCTGCCTTGTGCTGAGAATTGGAACTCAGGAGCTGGGTGCTTGAAACTATATCCTTCCAGGAAGCAACCAAACTGTGCAGTTAATAACCATCATTAACTGCTGCATCTCTATTTTAATACCTCTACCAAATTGAGTCTACTTATCAAACAATCAGCTATCTCCTCTTATACAGTATAAATGTTGTTTCTCCTTTTATTTGTATTTTTGTGAGTTGTCCTGATTAGTCCAAGGTGAAATGTTTTGACAAAATGTGTCCTTTGTCAGCCATACCAAAGTTCTGTAATACCAAGCCACTATAAATGGAATTATTTCTTAAACTAAAAATGATTCTCAATCTATTTCCTTTCCAAGGAAGTGAAGGTAAGCTTATGGAGATTTCTTGTTGTTTGTTAAATACTAAATATCTGTAAAGCATCTGGCACAATATTTTTCTATTAAAATATACATATATTAGGCAGTTAAAGAGGCAATAATTCCATGCTAAAATCAGTTATGGAAGACAAGTTGTGCCTAATTAGGAACAGTTTATTGATCTTTTTGATACAGAATCATTTGTTAAGGTGTTAAAAAAATTCTAAACAGAAGGCCCCTGAGTGTAAAATGTTTGTTGTAAATTGGCTAAACGGTAAGAAAAGATCATTTATTTTAATTGGCCAATAACTAGTGGAGTCAGATTTGATTTGATGAATTATAAACCAGGATTATTATAACATACTGTAGAGAAAAAATGCAGTGCAACTTGGCTTAAATTTGAACAGAAATAATAACATGGAACCTTCTAAAATTTCTTGACATCAAATAACCTCAAGTTGGCTCCCGTTATTCACACTAATTATGGAAATAGATTGAGGCAGCCAAAAAGATTCAGGAAGGCTTAAGAAAGGTGAATTTACATCATTGATCTTTAATGATAAATTTATTTATAATGTATTTTAGTCTTGAACCAGAATTAAATTGAGCTGCTCATAGTGTCTCATCTATTCCTAGTTTTGCAATTTTGAGACTTTAGACAAAGTCTGGGCAGTATGCCAGCCAAAAAGACAAGAATGAATCCTCTTAATCAGCTGAAAACCCCAAGAAGGAGGCAATTAGACACCTGAAATAACAATATAAAAACACAGCCAAAACCAGCTGTTTACTTAGTAAGATTGTGCATTATAGAGTGATGTAACACCAATTTTGAAGAAAGGAGCTCCAAGCACTATGGCTAAGATTAATTTTCATAAAACTTCTCATTTTCTAATTCTGCCATGGTATGTGGAAAACAGCTGGACGGGCACATAAAATTCCAGCGAGATTTACTTGCTGAAGATTTGCACTCTTCCCACAAATTCTGCATTTAATCATGGAATTGTTACAATGCAGAAGGAGGCCATTCGATCCATCGTGTCTGCGCTGGATAATCCATTTTTCCAATGTCTTTTAACATGTAACTTGGCTCTGATTAAAATACTGCGCCTAATGGCTATTTTAATCAAAGTCAGTGGAATGTAAAAAGGAACAAGATGTAAAATGGGTATTGATATGATCATACCAGCAGCCTGGCTACCAATTTCAGTAAAGATTACCCCTTAGGTGTACGTTCACATTGAGGGGAAGGTGAGACAGATTGGTGAAGAAAGAAATGGTTTTAGATACAGCAGTGGCTTTTCATAAGTTTCTAACGTATCGGTGTAAACATTGAATTCAAAATCATACAATTATTTGCTAGATGTGCTTTAATTCTCTTTAGCTTTCTGTTTGCCTAACTTCCTTTGTTTTTGCCTAAAAAGCTTTCAAACCAATTTAAAAGAAAGTTCAAAATAGGACAAAGAACTATTCCCCGGAATACATTTACATCTTCACCGCCCAATTATCTGGGAGAGCAGATTGCCAATCTGTTACAGAAGTTTCCTGATTCATTGGAAGAGATTCTTTGAGTGGTAAATGATCTGTCCTACAAAGATCATAGAATCCCTAAAGTGTGGAAACAGGCCAATCAGCCCAAGAAGTCCACACCACCCCTCTGAAGAACATCCCACCCAGTCTCATCCTCAGCCCCCTTCCCTGTAACCCTGCATTTCCCATGGCTAACTTACACATCCCTGAACACTACAGGCAATTTAGCGTGGCCAATCCACCTAACCTGCATATCTTTGGACCGTGGGAGGAAACCAGAGTACCCAACGGAAACCTATGCAGACACGGGGAGAATGTACAAAGTCCACACAGACAGTCGCCCAAGGGTGGAATCGAATCCAGGTCCCTGGCACTGTGAGGCTGCAGTGCTAACTGCTGAATCACTGTGCTGCCGAAAGATGGTGAAAAAAAACCTAGCAAAGCCTTCTCCCTACCTTGCTCTAATGGACTCTTTTGTCTCTCTTAGAATCTTAAACAAAGCAATATTTACAAAAAGTATGGAACTATAGTATCAGTATCATAAATGAATTTGATATATTTTCTCTCCCTCAGGAAATCTCAATACAACCTTCGAGATAACAAGGTGTAGAGCTG